CTCCGGGGGGCCCGGCCTCTTCTCTGGATCCAAAGACGCCTCGGCCAATGCGGGGCTCCTGACCATCTCAGGGCTGCAGCCTGAGGACGAGGCCGACTATCACTGTGCTGCATACGATAGCAGTGGGGGCACTGTTTATTACCCACAGTGTCTCAGATGACGAGGAAGTGAGACAAAAACCCCTGGGCCCCGAGGTGGTGGCTCTGAGCCTCCCTTCAGCGAGGAGCGTCCGTGGGGGCCTCTGTCATTGGCTCCTCTGCAGGGACCTGTGTCCCCGGGATGAGGGCGGTCACACTCGATGTGGCAGCAGCACAGGAGTCCCAGGGGCACACGCAGGTGGTCGTAGAGCCCAGCCCACCCCCCGTGTCTGGGGAAATTCTAACAAGAAGGACCATTTCTGAGTCAGAATCTCAGCTCCTTCCTCCTGTTGTGTCTTGTTTGCTCCTCACCCAGAGCACCTCACTCCTGACCCCTCCAGTCCCCGATGTGTGGGGAGATAGTTTCTGACAGCAATTCTCTGACACCAGCTGATGTCCCACAGCAGCACTCAGTCCTCACACTCTCTGCCCAGAGACGGTGTCAGACCCACAGTTAAAGGGCCAGTCCCACCGACTGCCCGCAGGTCAGGTGCCACTCACAGGTGGGAGGTCCCAGGTTTCACACAACTTCTTGGCTATAAATCAAAGTTTCCCAGGAAAACTCTTGTGATTTCAATTACGTTACCGTATTAATTTGCTGACTGACCTGAGCCCTCTCCCCTTCAAGAAATGGGGGCAGGGGTGAGGCTTCAAGCTTCTAATCCTCCCCGGCCTCTCCAGTGTCCCGTCCTCACCCAGGAGCCCACCCAGCGCCCCCTCATCAGCAAAGGCCGCCCGTCCCCCAGGGAGTGACAAGGGTTCAGGAGCCTGTGCCAGGGCCAGGGGCCGAGACCAGCGTATGTTTCCTATCAGCTCACATCCTGTGTCTGCACCTGCACATGGTCACCCAGACAGCCATGCTCCCCACAGATTAATGTCATGTGTGTGAACCCTGTGTCGCTACTGACCCATCCTGTCTGATATGTTAGTGTCCACCCCGGCCATGGGCACCACCTTCTCCTTCTCTGATCAAACCCACAGAAGGTTGGTCACAACCAGCACAGACTCTCAGTGACACCCTCCCTCCCCCTCTTCCCTCCTCTGCTGCTGCCTCCCTGACCCCCTCCTCTCCCTCCGGCTCCTCAGCTCTTAACTCCGTCCTCACTGAGGGTTTCAGGGAAAAGGGCCAAGTTCCTGCTGCAGTTCTGTCCCCCAGGCCTCCGTCTCTGGGGAGGGTGAGAAGCTCCCTGTGCACTAGCTTGGCAATAGCTTCACTGAGAGTGAGGCCCAATTATTTTTA